TCGTTTGGTAGTTCCTAGTGGCGAAGTGAGGGAATGTTTAATGCGTGAATCTCACGAAACCACATATACCATGCATCCTAGTAGTAATAAAATGTTCCAAGATCTGAAGAAGACATATTGGTGGCCCACAATGAAGCGGGAAATTTTCGAATTTACAACATGATGTCTGACGTGTCAACAAGTCAAGGCTGAACACCAAGTGCCAAGTGAATTGTTACATCCACCTACCATTCCTGAATGGAAGTGGGAACGAATTACGATGGACTTCGTGATCGGACTTCCATTATCAGCCAAGAAGAATGATGTTGTCTGGGTTATCTCATTTTATTCCAATTCGGCGTGACATATCATTAAAGAAATTAGCAGAGTTGTACATCCGTGAGATTGTAAGATTACATGGTGTACCTTTGTCTATCATTTCTGATCATGACCCACGATTCACGTTGCAATTCTCGAAGAGTCTGCAGAAAGCCCTAGGTACTAAACTTAACTTTAGTACGACATTTCATCCACAAACTAACGGACAATCCGAAAGAACAATCCAAATTCTAGAAGATATGATGAGGGCATGTGTAATTGATTTCGAAAGCAACTGGGAACAATACTTACCGCTAATAGAGTTCGCTTATAACAACAGTTATCAAGCAAGTATCCAAATGGCCCCGTTTGAAGCCTTGTATGGGAGACGTTGTAGAACTCCAGTATGCTGGACAGAATTAAGCGAGAAAAAGCTTGAAGGACCTGAAGAAAAGGTTCTTCTAATAAGAGAAAGACTGCAAGTGGCTTCCGATCGACAAAAATCTTATGCCGATTTAAAACGTCGGGAGATCGAATAGAATATTGATGACAAGGTGTTTCTGAAAGTCTCACAGTGGAAGAAAGTGTTACGGTTCGGTAGAAAGGGAAAACTGAGTCCAAGGTATATTGGATCACACCGCATCACTGAATGTGTGGGTCCAATAGCCTAACAGTTAGAACTTCCATGTATCGATGTTGAAAAGATACCGTTCCAATCCATCGCATATCTTGACTGAGGGAATCGTAACTCTTGACGAACAATTGACTTTTGGGGAGGAACCTGTACAAATTCTGGCACGAGAGATCAAGTAAGTTGAGAAATAAATCTCTCCCTCTAGTCAAGGTACTATCGAGGAATCACTCAACTGAAGAAGCAACATGGGAAACTGAGGAATTAATGAGAATGCAATATCTGAATCTCTTTAATCAATTACTCAGGTAATTTCGAGGACAAAATTATTTTAAAGGGGAGAGAAATGTATCGTCCCGAAATTAGGCCTATCAGAATTAATTAATTGATAATTAATTACTCAGAAGGAACCAAAAATAAGAGAAAGTTGGACCAAAAAGTGTACCCCAACTGGGACCAAAATTAGTCCCTATCAGGGACTACACACCAAACGGCGCCCGGTTCAATTACGCCGATTCCAAATTCGTCACTCAACCACGGAAGCTGCAAACCTTTGTCTTCTTCTTCTTCATTGGGCTATTTAAGGACAACCCAACTTCCTCATTTCCTCACCAAAACAACTCATTCTTCATTCTATATTGTTCCTTGCTGAGAGTAGAGCATAATGGTGCTGTCATTTTTGTGTGAGGTCACTGGAGCAGTGAGATATAGTCGTCGGAAGTTTCACTGAAAAATCTTCAAAACCTCCTTTACGCTTGAAGGTAATCCCATAGATATATCTAATGACTAAAATGTTCGGTCGTTTCTACGTTCATAAATGGTCATTTGGTTGAGTTTTCAGTTTGACATGTATGAAGAACTAAGAATCATAAACCATAAATTTTTTGTTCAAAATATGATTTAATGATTATAAAATGATCTATGAACCTTGAAGAACATCTCTATATAGTTTAGTTGAAGTTCTGTGACTAAAAAGGGTATTTACGAAAAATGGACCAAAGGTTGAAGAAGATGAACAGTAGCTGAAAAACAGTAGGATGGATTGATCATATTGATTGGATCGATAACCTGGAGTTTTTCTTTTACTGTTTGGATCGATCCAGACTACTGGATCGATCCCCTGAAAATTTGATCCAAAAATTTGTCCGAAATTGTTATTTTTGAGCTCTAAAATCCTATTTTTCATACCAATTGATTATGATTATTATAAAAATGATTTTTCACAATAAAAATGATGTTTTTGAAAATTTAAACATTGTGTGATTTATGACGGTAAGTTAGGGTGTTAACACTCGACGCTAGGGCGCTTATTGTTATTAGATATTATGATGATTGGTTGATTGTTGATTATAATGAATATTATTCATAAAGAATGATAATTATGGATAAAGAATGATAATTATGAATTATTAAACTAAATTCCAAAATAAATGGATTAATGAAAAATGATTGTATTGTTAAGGCTATCTAGAAGATCTCTAAAGATAGACTTCAAATTAGATTGGGCCTTGCGGGTATAAATATGTATATTCGGTGGCATTAGGTAAAAACGTACGTACGGGATCCATAAACCAAACTAGAGGAACTCATTTTGGGATACCACCCAACCCGACAATTAGTATTCTACTATTCGGTTTTCTGGATTTGTACCTTAAGCGAAGGCTAGTTTAAGAGTTGGTAAATTACTCAGAATATATGTACCTTAAACTAATGACCTAGCTTAAGAGTTTGACAAAATTACCTTGAACTAGAATTAGTTTAAGAGTTGGTAAACATAAAAAAGATTGGCCTTAGACTAAGCATAGTTTTAGGATATTGTTGAATATTGAATATTGAATATGAATTTCGAATGTAAAGATATTGAGAATATCATGAATGAATTGTATATTGTGTGCATGATATCAAATGGTTGTTTGTGAATTGAGATTCAATTTATGTGGATGTTTGACACTTTAGATATGCTTGCTCAGCTTCACCGGTGAGCGTGTAGTGTGTTTTATTTGCTACACGCAGGTAAGCAGAATGAGTGATTGGCATGTTTGTTGAAACACGGGTTTATCACGTTTTCGTACTAAAGCCGTGTTGGTTGTTATGACAGGTTTTGATAATGCCAAACCGCCGTGAACGAGACAAGTCATTGAATATACAAGGCGAGAACCAAAGATGAGAAGAAAGAGAACAAGGGCCCAAAGAAGACCAAGAACGAAGGCCGTAGTCTTAGTGTTATTGAGTCGGTCATAATTGTGATCAAAACCGACCCAACCTTTACACCTTGGCTCTTTAGGCTAAACCTCTTTTCATTGCATTTCACACATCATAAAAATGCTTTTCAAACATGTTTAAAACATTAAAAACACTTGGTGTTCGCCCAAACCAAAAACCAAGCCATCCGGCGTTCGGGTTTCAGAAACCGGCATTCGGCATTCGGTTTTCGGCATTGGTTTTTGGCGTCCCAACTAACCAAGTGGTTTTCAACTTTTTATGATTGGTTTTTACTTGTGGGCACATTTAAATAGTTTTCCATCAAAAACACTTCAAAAACCACCTTTCGTTTTTCGTCGTTTGATAAAAACCATGCGAAACGGCATAAACTTGGCTAGCCGTGGTTTTTACTTAAATGAAGTGGTTTTCGAGTCTTTTTGTGTGGGAATTGTTTTTGAATCCATTTAAATGGTTCTTCAATCAAAACATCATGAAAACCACCTTTCGGTTTTGTCTTTTGGTGAAAACCACCCGTGTACGGTGTTGACTTGGTCAACCATGGTTTTTACCTTAACGACGTGGTTTTCAACTTACAAAGCTTGTTTTGACATCAAAATACATTAAATAAGTGTTTTATATACTTAGTTTTTACTTTGGAGAACTTTGCATTTTTCGGTCGGGTTTCAGCGCCGGTCAGCTAGGCCATGGTTCTGGGCTAGCCATCTACCCAGCGATGGTAGACTTCACCCATGCATGGGTAAGTGATCCCGGGATTCCAGAATCATGCCACCCAGCGATAGGAAGATCTTCCCATCGATGGGTAAGCAGTCCCTCAGCGAAACTGATTTCCAGAACCATGCCAAACAGCGATGAGAAGTTCTACCCATCGCTGTTAAAGCTTTGGTCCAACATCACACAAGGCAGAATGCCCTTACCCAGCGATGGGAAGCTTTACCCATCGATGGGAACCCAGCGATGGGAAGGCTTAACCATCAATGGGAAGGCATGACCGTTGGAAGTCATTTAAGGCTGATTCTTTCCTTATTTGAAAGTCAACCTCCCACCCAGCGATGGGAAGCATCTACCCATCGATGGGTAGGTAACCGTTGCCTTCAAAACTGAAGGAAAATTGGCTTACCAGCGATGGGTAAGTCTCAAACATTGATGGGAAGCCAATATTATGCAGATCCCAAATCTTTTCAATCCCATAAATCAAGCCAATCATCCCTTAAATGTTTTGATCCGTTGGAGCCTACTTTGGCACTATAAAAAGGGGTGTTTGGGTCTGCTTTTCCAATCAATTCACTTCACAATATTCATATTATCATTGCATCCAAATCACATTATTTTCCATAGCTTTCTAGAGCCAATTTGTGTGAAGTTTGAGTTGTTCTTGAGCGTATATATTTTACTCATATCCACTCTTAAGGATAGTCTTGTTCTTGAGTGTCTTAGTGTTGTATACACATTAAGGGAAGCTTGTTTCCCTTGGTTGTACAAAGGAAAGGTATTTTCCTTCGGGTTGAAGTCTTGGAGTGCGGTATCTCCGAGCAAGTGTTGTTGAGGGTCGTGGGACTCGAGTTCTCAGGTTGTAACGGTTTGTTAAGCACCCGTAAGCTTAACAGAAGTAGTGTAGCTCGAGAGAGTCTCTCGGCAGACTGGATTAGCCACACGTTGTGGTGAACCAGTATAAATCTTGGTGTGCTCCCTTTACGCTTTCTACGCTCTTTACTTTTCACGTTCTTAATTTTTTATTCTTGCGATTTCTACGATCAAACGCTATTCACCCCCCCTCTAGCGTTGGTCACTTATTCTAACAATTGGTATGAAAGCCTAACTCGCGTCCAAACTTAACCGTTTGAGAGTAAAAGCGATCATGGGTTCTTCTTCTAGAAATTTGTATGCAGGAATAGGTGAAGGGCAATCAACCACACGGCCACCTCTTTTTGATGGAACAAATTATACATATTGGAAAGAACGAATGAGAATCTATATTCGTTCCACAAACTTCCAATTATGGTTGGTTATCAAAAACGGGGAAGAGGTGCCGATGAAGAAAGTTGGTGACAAGTTGATCCCCAAGACCGAAGACGAGTTTTATGCCGAGGACATCAAAAAGGTCGAAAATTATGCAAAGGCAATAAACATGCTTTATTGTGCCGTAAATCCTGATGACTACCGCAAGATCTCCTGCTGCACAACCGCCAAGGAGATGTGGGATAAGCTCGAGATGACATACGAAGGAACGGACCAAGTACGTGAAGCCAAGATCGACTTCCTCACCCAAGAGTATGAGATGTTCAGGATGAAGGAGCACGAGAAGCTTGACGATATGTTCGACCGATTTTCCAAAATAGTCAACGATCTTCATGCATTAAAGAAGACTTACACCGACAAGGATCTTGTGCGAAAGATCCTACGGAGCTTGACATCCGAATGGCGATCCAAGGCCGATGCCATCTATGAATCAATCGGCACATCAAATGTCACCATCGACGGTCTAAGAGGTAATCTAAAAACCTATGAATCTACTATTCTTAATCCGTCTTTGAATGACCAAAGGAAAGGGATAGCATTAAAAGCCGTCAAAGAATCAACGATGGATGATTCAAGCGACGATGATGAAGTCAAGCTTGTCATGAAGAAGTTTTGTAAACTTCTAAGGAAGAAAGAAAAGGTTGAGGATGGCCCTGTGTGCTATGGATGTGGTGAAGCCGGGCACATCAAGAACAAATGCCCGAAAAGCGGAAGGAATGCTCGGCACTTCAAAAGGAAAAGGGCATATATCTCTTGGGGTGGCAACTCCAGCGACGAGTCAACCGATCAAGACGAGGATGAAACTGCCAACCTCTGTCTCATGGCGCACGAAGACCAAACCGACGATGTACAAGAGGTATGTACCATTTCTTCCGACTCTTACACCTTTGAAGAAATGCAAGAAGCACTTCATGAACTTTATGATGAATTTGTTAGCGCTTCTAAAATCAACAAATCGTTAAAGCAACGCCTCTCCACTCTTGAAAATGATTTTGAAAATCTGGGAAAAGATAATGAGAAGTTAAAACAAGAGAATAAATTTTATGGCAAAAGAAGCGCCGACAAACCAGAAAGTTCCTCAAACAAATGTGAATCTTGCAAAGCTTTAGAGGAACAAGTCACAGAACTTGAGAGTACGGTCAAGAAATTTAATACTCCGCACAAAGATTTAAATTTTCACCTTGACACCATGCATTTTTCTAAGGAAGGAATAGGTTTCAATAAAAATGACGCTAAGGTTAAAGAAAACGTTGAGCCACCACCTAGACAACCATCTAAGGTTCAACGTAAGAAACCTAAAAATCAGGATAATAGAAAACCTAGTCAACCTAAGGACACTAGACAACCTAGACTAAAACCTAGGAATGAAAATGTTCATGGTAGACAACCTAAGAAAAATAATTTTGTGCATAATAATAATTTTTCTCAAAATAGGAGAAATAACATGAG